GACACATTAACCACTGCACATGGTCTGGATAACTGTGGTTTTAAAGGCTGTAGTTACTAAATCAGAGGCTCAGACTGCAGAATACCATCAAGAGAAAGGGTAGTTTCGACTAGTCCTACAAGAGAAACAGGAAACATAGGACTTTCCTCCCAGTACACTCTTCAAAGACCCTGGACATTTAAAATGAGAAAGTTTTAAAAACATTTTTCTAAAGGAAGTCTCATTTCTTGAGACTTCAGGGCAAAAAGTGAAATTAAGTGCACCATTCAGAGACAGAAACTTTGTGATTCCAGGTCACCGAATGTTCTCTGTAGAGCAGGACAGGCAACAACAGTGTTGGGTCATTTCCATATATTAAAAAGCCCTCCCTCCAGGACTTACAGATGATATGAACTGTGTTATGCAGTTTAGTCTGAGGAAGGCTCATATACTACTGGTAAGACCCACATTTCAAGGTCCTTCTCAGAAAGACGTTTCTTCATTTTAATGTTGTTTATTACTCTCCTAATCACTAGGATGATTGAAACAGCTTTGCAACTTGCTGGGAGGAAAATTAAAGAAAGTAGTCTTCCTCCTTTTATATCTGTTTGCACAGATTGTTAAAATAGCACGGTTCATCTGGATGATGTTGAGATGGAAAAAAATAAAACCTATTCCTTCTGAAGAGTAGAGAAAGGTACAAGGGGTTACAGAAGCTTAAACAGAACAGGAAAGTCAAAATAAAACACCGAAATTTGGGCTTAGATGCTATCACCGTATTTCCTTCAAACTCAATAGAAAGCAAAGTCGTATGGAAAGAGATTTTTAAATAAATAACCATGTCATTTTTTTGTATTCGGTCAATACAATAACAAACTTGTCTTATGGGTCTATGATCATTTACAAAAGAAAAAAAAAATCCAAATCAAACCAAACAAAACTGCTATCTTTTGAAAAGTATCAGATCAGACACCAGAAAGGCAGCAGCTGGGGAACACATTCTTTCCCAGTTCCTTAGACGAAGGCTGTCTCCCAATAAAAGCCATAACTTGGGGTCATACTTCTCTCTAGTCTGGGTTGCAGTGACCCAGGCAGCTCCAGAGGTGAACTGGACACAGAGCCTGGAAAAGGGGAAGAATAATCAAAACAAAATTCATCCAGCGTCCTTTCTGCCTCCACTTGGAACCTGCCAGGGCAGAGCAAGGTTGAAAGGGCCATAGGGTACTCTCCTCTGGGGGTGCTGCAGCCGTCAAAGGACCCAGGGCTTCAGTTTCTAATGGGAGGCATTTCCATACCTCTTAACAGGTTCTGACATATGGTCCAATATATGGTCGCTCACACCATCGACCACAAATGCACTCCCTCCACCTGGAGAAGGTGTCCTCCCCTACCACCAACAGTGCAACTTCGAGATGAAGTCATTTACAACCCAGAGGCCAACTCAAAAGGGCACAGATACAATTAGATGGACCTCTTACCCCACTGGTTTCATACTTGATGAGAAGGGTTTGCAGAAGAGGGTTTCACAGTCACCCTACCCCTTTAAGCAGTTCTCCTTTCCATGTGGTACCTTACCTAAATCCAACCAACAAACCTCACTTAGAACTTCAGAACTACTCTCTTCCAGATCAAAGTATCTCCTTGGGATAACTATCTCACTAGAAACTTTCACCTGAGTTGCAGAGTATGACCATGAGAGCACTTAAAGGAAACTGATCAAAGTCAGAAAACAGATGTTAAGAACGTGAACCTCAAATTCATTCACTCGTTCAACACAATAGCTCCGTTTCTAAAAATCTTCATATAATCGAAATTCAATAGGAATTTTTTTCAATGAGGAGGAAGGAAGACAGTCTTAAACATTCAAAAACAAAAGCATTTTTCTGTATTGAATTTCAATAATAATAGTGTTTTGTGTGGTTATAAGTGCAGTACTATAAAACTTAAATATGACTGAATGAATTCAGCACTCTATTACGTATAGCTTTCATTCCAGAAAATTCATCCTTGGGCCTTTCTTTCTCCTTAGCACAGGCTTCTTACACATTTTCGTCACCTTTATCACCCACTGTGTGATAGACAAAGCACAAAGCCACTGGAACAAACAGGTGCCATAGCTTTTTCTACCACTGTGGTTCACAGGACCCCATGCTGTTTCCTGACCACAATTATATACATCACAGTCCATATTAACATATGGAATCACATCCAATTTGCAACATAAACATCACAGGGGGAATGCCTATATGTACTGCCCATTCACTAGATGCCACATACTGAGGAAAGGCAGCCCTCCTATTGCTGGGCTTGGAGAAGGATTGTGAAGTGTTATACAAGGGGAAGAATGGGATGCTATGGGAGCCCAGAAAAGACAGCAAATAACCTAGTCCCTAGTCCAAGGACTTCGTGAGGAAGAGACTCTAAGCTGAGATTTCAAGAATGAGGGAAAGGTAGCCAGACAGCGGGGGGAGAGGAGCTGGGTTCTAAGGAGGGGGAACAACATGTCTAAAGGCTGGAACACAAAACAGAGTATAGCGCTTGAAAGAGGAAGTGTGATAGGACCGATGTGGGGCGAATACAGGGCAACATGTGAGTGATAAGGCTGGAGATACAAGGAAGGTCCTCAAAACCTACTGATCCACATTAAGGATTCTAGACTTTATCCTGAGGACCATGAGAACCCAGGGAAGGGGTTAAGAAAAACAGAGATGTCAGCAGATTTCAAATACTAACAAATGTTCATTTTGGCTTCAAAGAGGAAAAACGTGTTGGACCAGAACAACAATCCATTTAGACAGGCCATTTAGGAGGTACATCGTATGCCAAACCACCCAGCTCAGCAGAGCCACTCGTCTAAACTCAGACTTTGAGACCAGCATTCCTCAAAATTCAATGCCTAGGAAGTTGTTCCCAACCTTCCACTGGAAGAGCTATCTCCGGAGAAGAGCTACAACAGGAAAGAAACCAGGGTAGCATCGTGCCTCTCTGGTTCCTACGTGGATAAAAACCAACGCCAAGGAGCCCATCCTTAGCAGGGCAGCCTGCTAGGTAGCAGGGATGTATGACAGAGGATGTGAAGACCCCGACCCCGGAGACTTGGATAATGGTTAGACTTTGGCTAGGCCTGAAATTCCTGACTGAGCTCTCTAGGCCCTAGTGAGGGAGGTTGCCAGACATGTTTCCACCCACTGCTTCCAGGGCAGGGCTCCCTGCGAAACACACAGGTCAGCAACGGAGGGTAGAGAACTGGGCAGAGAGGATGCCACAGCCAGGAAATCGGCACAGGGTGGGTGAGCATCAAGGAATGAGGAGCAGGTGGGAGAAGGGGAAAGGGGCCCTTGGAGATAGAGCTCTCTAGGCCCTAGTGAGGGAGGTTGCCCAAGGGGAAAAGTGAGCAGAAGAAAGAAAGAGCTATTCCCAACAAAGTCATCCAGTGGACCACTCGCCAGCCTGGTGCAGAATTTGAGCTGCAGTAATCTCATTTCTTCCTTCCAGGTTGGCCCTGGGTACAAGTAGAAGAAAAGAGAGACTGATCATATAAAAACTTGAACCGTTGTACAACAAAAAGCGTTGTCATTGAAATGAAAGGAAACTGGACTAGGGAAGTAGCTCTAGCAAATTTGACTTTTTAAATGGATTAATATCTAGAACACATAAAGAGCTCATGTACATAGATTAGAAAACATCAAGACTTTCATTCGCTAATTGTAAAGAGAACAGTTAGTAAACAAACACAGATGGAACTGTTCCGTCTCTGAGAGGGATCAAAGGAATGAAAACTTTGAAACCAAAGAGCCTATTCAATTAGCCAAAAAAAAAAAAAAAAATTAAGTCCTACAATTATTAAGATTGAAGGTAGAGACATTCTTATATCATTAGTAAAAATGTAAATTGGCACAGCCTTTTAGAAAGCAATTCAGAGCAAGCTCCCTCTAACTTAGTAATGAGCCTTCTGATGCGAGTGTGTCCTCAGTAAATACTTGTGTGTAAAGATATTCACTGCGGCGTTACAACAGTAAACAATTAGAAACAACTCGAATGTACAAAAATGATAGGAAACTTAAAAATCAAGATAAAACAACCTGATAGAATGTTACGTGATCCTTGCAAATGAGAACTGTAGAGCTGAAGTTACTAAGAATATTTATGCTAAATGGGAAACGCAAAACTGAAAAAAAGATACATGATATGTTGTCAAGAACTGAAAAACAACACATAAAAATGAACTTGATTTATGGATTGGAATGGTGGAATCAAAGGGAACTTTTGCTTTTACTGGCTTTCCTTTATTATTGTAAGGTTTGGGCAATACATGTTTTAAAACATAGTATTTTCATCAGTCACGTGTAGTGAACACCCTTTTCTGTGGAGCAGAGCTACCTGCAGAAAACGTCACTGCCAGGTTAGCAGAGGGTGCCTAGTCCTTCCTAAATTTCAAAGGTCCTTCTGAGATTCCAACTCTGCCTACTAAGACTGGCTGCTCTCAGAAGCTCCTCCTACCCTGACTACACCTCAAATGCAGCACTTTCCTTTGTTCTTGCTTTTTTTATTGAGGTCTTAAATGCTATGCCTTCCGCGTGTGTGTGTGTGTGTGTGTGTGTGTGTGTCTGTGTCTGTCTGTCTGTCTGTCTTTGCTTTTTATCAGTTATTGAGATACTACCATAAGCAATATCTAGAGAGTGAGTGCACATTACATCTTTCCAGTGATTCTGTGAGTTAGGTGGTATTATCATCCCCATTTAACAGATGAGGAAATTGAGGATCACAGATTTAAGAACTGTGACCTGGACCACAAAGCCAGGAGCCAGAGCCAGAAGGATTCAAGCCTCAATCTCCCTGACTTCAAAGTCCTCATTTTCACCCTTCCTCTCTGTCTACGAAACAAATAAATTAAAACAACAAACCCTCTCAAATGTCACCTTTTCTATTTGCACTAGCTGCCTAAAGAAACTATTAATAATTGCCATGAATCAAGAGGCATTTGTATGAACTGCTTATGAATTAACCAAAAAGACAGGGCAATGCCGCACACACTAATTGGCAAAGTTGATGCAGAAGAGAAAAGGAATTACCTAGAGACTAAAACCTGCACCTGCAGGTAAAACCAAATGACATCAAAAGGATTTCTGCTTGCAAATTAAAAGCAGAATATGGCCCTTATTACTACTGCTTAGAAAAGCAGAGCTTCTGCACTCCTCTTGCAAAAAATAATCCCACAATCAGCTGAAAGATTCTTTCCAGTTATACTGCATTCCACCTCCAGAAATGGATGTTGTTTGGGACATGGTAGCGAGAACAGTAAAAAGGAGCAGAGGAAGTATTCATGTATGAAACTAATAGAGATGGGGTGATAAATGATTTTAGGCACCACTTATGACTTACTCTATAAATAATGACATAATAATAGCCAAAATATAAATTCTAATTAAATACAAAATCTAACAAAGTCAAACAATAGCAAATGATGTTTGACAGATGCAAAGGTCTTGGGGGAGCCGGGAGCAAGAATTACAATAAAATCTATTCATGGAACTGTACGATGTCAGAGAGAGAATAGGCCCGAGAGATCATTTGTTTCAACCTCCTTGTGCTTTGGAGACAGGAAAACTGAGACCCAGCAAGGTAGAGTGAGTAGCACAAGTCACCCTGTTGCAGGGCAGGCAACAGAAACTGAGCCTCCGAACTACCAATCCAACAGCACACCATACTCACTCTGTAGGGTCCTGGAAGACTACTCCATTTTAAATCATATTTTCAAAAGAGCATTAAACGTTCTATAAATACTAAATTCCTTTTTGATAATTTTCTAATGCACAGGGGCACATTTTAAAAAGAAGCCTGGTTTTGATTTCTTTTGGAAAACTGCATGCTGCTCGGTGTTTCATCTGGTATTGAGTGAAATATTAACAGGCCATATAATGGTTTCAGTGTTCCTTCAGTAAAGCTAAACAGAACTCGAAAAACATATCCCCCAGGCCTGCAGTGGAGTTTCTGGAGCACACATTAAACTCCACGCTCTGCTCAACAAGCCCATCGCTGTTAAGTAACTCATCAGAAAATAAAGAGGGAATTACCAAAGGGGAATTGCCAAGCAATTAGTTCTCTGAAGCAGATGACATACAACTGTTACAGGGAGGAGCTTCCCGGTTAGTCATATGTCAGATTCAGAGCCTACTAATCTGTAAATAAAAATGCATCACATATGATTACAGCTGTGATGTAGGCTGAAGCTGCCAGGCTAGGGCACGAATAGTAAATCTTGCATCCTCTTCTCAATTTCCGTGGGTCTGTAAAAGCAAGAGATGTTGCCTTTGAAGACCAAAAAAAAAAAGAAACACAAAAGTCGTCAGTAATTTTTCACTCAGTGTAAGAAAGACAATCTGGCCTTCCCTGAGCCAGCTAAGAGAAAAGTGATCTTTCTTCTCTATCATCTTGACATGAATGAGCTCAGATTCATTCACTGTTCCAGTGAAGGAGAGAAAATGAGACGGGGCGAGGCAGGGGCAGAGGGGATGGGAGTTCTAAGCTTCCTTATGGCCACCCTGACTGAAGCGTGACCTCCTTTCGCTGCACGTTTTATTCTTAGAGCTTGCGTTCGGTGCCACGCCACCACCTATCACACTGGAGAGATAAACAGTTCATATCTGCCAAGTCTTGCAAGCTGAGCAATGACCCAGTGAAGTTCTTTTAAGAGTCAAAAGTTCATCATCTCGTTGAGACTCTTGATGCTGAATAGCATTTGGAGCCAACTTAAGCCAATCCCCTGAAATGGATAAGCAAATTGCCACTGTCATCATTTTCTTCAATGAATAATTATTGAAAGTGCATAGGAATCTCAAGGAGATATGAGTAAGAGTGAAAGAAAGGAAGAAAACACCACAAAGCCTGCATAGGACAGCCTGTATCAGAAAGCTCATATGTGACTGAACAGACAGGCAGACATCAAAAGAGAAGGCTCCAAGGAAGGACCCTTCCTTGATCCTGACTTCCTAGACTGTGTTGTACCTGTGTCATGACTCTTTAAATATTACTCCAAGCCATGCCTTGCCTTATGCGCTCGACTGTAAGCTTCTTAAGGACAGGGCTTAAGGAACAGGGCTGAGAGTGTGGACTGGAATCCAAGCATGATTCTATCACTTAACAGCTGGGCAACCTTGGGGAAATCATTCACCCTCTCTGTGCCAGTTTCTTCGCCTGTGCAATGGAGAAAATAATGATGCCTACCTCGAAGGATTGTAATGAGGATTCAGTAAGTTAATATGCAGAATAGTAAATGTGAACTATTGATCATCTCCATATTCCCTAGAATGCCTTGTTGGCATAATGCCTCTCATACATTAGATGCTCATTAAACAATTGCAGACAGAACGATCTGCCCCTGGAGTTGTTTGCTCCATCCCTCTTGTTCCTGTCTTAACCTTCTTGTCTTTGTTGAAAGTTAAATAAGTCACTGCTTTTATTCTGAGTCCTTTTGGGCTATACAGAGAGCCCATCCTAACTAACTCAGGACCAAAAAAAAAAAAAACACTTAATCCTCAAATTTTCTCTCATTACATTAAGACAGACTGCTCACTGAGAACATCATAACATCATTTGCAGCCTTCTCTTTCACTTTACATCATGAAGTCTTAGGCTAACTTTCTCCCCAGAGCCAAGATTCACCACTTCTATATCTCTTTATTTTCTATAAAGTATAAATGGGAAGCCAAACTGTTCAAAGGGCTGTGTCTAGTAACTAGGTATATACAGTATACACACGCGCACACAAACACACACATCTCACATTTTAAAGAGTCCACAGAAAGCCTCCAGGGAATCCTCTGAAGTTACCAAACACACCCACATTAATGTGGTTTATCAGAGTACAGTAAATGAATTGCCACAAATGAACAATTGCTACAGAGTCAAGTAGATGGCACATTGTGATTTACGCATATCACATGAGATGAATAAATCAACAGTAGAAAAGATCAAAGAAATGCTGGAATTCTTGTTAATATGTACAGGGCTTCACTGAAAATCTTAATAAAACTGTTTAGAGGAAAACAGAAGGATCACTTGTTTAAAGAAATACCGCATACGCTGAATTTCAAACGTGGCATTCATTTTTATATACACACACATTAGATTTAGCTAAAATTAGCTCAAGTTCCTATTTTTGTAAAGGTCTTAAAGGAAGAAAGGTTTTGACAAGATTTCATTGAGCTGTAGTTCAGCACTGAGTTTCCGAGGTGCCTGAGCTTCTGCAGAAGAGTCCTTATGGTCCACGCATACATCACCCAACCCCTCCAGCCACCCAGCCTCCTTCACCCCAGATCATGAAAAGGTGGCAGACGAAGGCCGTGCCACACCAATGTTCAAGCTACTCTCCGCTGCCTCCTACCTTCTCTCTACACATTCTACACCAGCTGACGTCATCCCTGAATTCAGTCATCCCCCTCCTGTGTGTCAAACTTTTTGCCAGGCCCAAGAATCCAAGGCCTAATTTCAAAGATCACTTTTATGTCAAGGACTCCTCCAAATTTATCTTCAGACTCGAGGTCTCAGTGGTTTTACTCCCACAGTCTCTACTGTCTGCTCGAATCCAGAAACTCAGATGTCCACCAGCACCTAGGCTTCAGCCAGAACGTCCTGGTCAGTTACATGCCGTGCACTGGCTTGTTATGTCCCAGACACACACATGGCCTTCCTCATGCTCCATCCATCTCTTCCTACAGAAATGCAATCTAGCCGGCAGAGCTCAACTCAAGTGATCCCTCCTCCTCAAAGTCTTTCTTGATCACTCCTACACAGCGTCACTCTTCTGAATTCCTTCACTGTTAGAACACCGTTAGAACCCCATTCTATTTGTATTCATTATTTCAGAGAGTTTCTTCTTTCCCCTGCCTGACCATGAAGAAAATAACTGCCTTCCGGTAGCTCTTATTCACTTCTATTCCCACAGCACCATGCAGTAGTTTTAAAAAAATTCACAATGAATAAATGAATGAATCATTTCTTTACATAAATAGTGACTGTGAACAAGTTAGGTCATAACTTGCTATAGCTGTATCATATTTATAAAATAACTAGAACCAGAAAGAACTATAATGTAGGTTTAAGAAAAAAAACTGAATGAATATACGAGAGTACAACGTGAATGATACTATTTTTCTGCTTACGTTGAGCCGTCAATCGTGAGGACTGTAATGAGGCCATTATTGATGCAAAATGTTTAGATAATGCTTATAAGCTTTCTTTAAATGCAACCATAGAAAATGTCAGCTGCTTAAAATTCAAGGTGACTGTGCTGCTTAGTCAGTATTTTAGTATTCTTAAGACACTTAAACTTCCTAATATACTATAAAAACCTAGGTCTCTTCTCAATAAGCTGCCCATATTGACCAAGAGATAAGACTTTTTGCTGCCTGTTTTTCCACAAAAAAATTCTTGAGATATTTCTGTTATCACAAATGACTCCCTTTCAACACCACAGGTTAAAAAAAATGCACATGTACTCAACCCACCTGCAATTAAACTATTTCTCCAAAGATCTAAATGTGAGGATTTTCAGCCTAGCACATAACTGTTAAAATGAGTATCATCCCTAAGAGATAAAGTAGCAGTAAGACACTCTACCTTTTTCTTTTCTTTTCTTTTCTTTTCTTTTTTTTTTTTTTTTGAGATGGAGTCTCACTCTGTTGCCCAAGCTGGAGTGGCAGGGGCGCGACCTGGGCTCACTGCAACCTCTGCTTCCTGAATTCAAGCGATTCTTCTGCCTCAGCGTCCCAAGTAGCTGGGATTACAGGCACCTGCCACAATGTCCAGCTAATTTTTATATTTTTAGTAGAGACAGGGTTTCACCATGTTGGCCAGGCTGGTCTAGAACTCCTGACCTCAAGTGATTCACCCACCTCAGCCTCCCAAAGTGGCGTGAGCCACTGTGCCTGGCCCACTCTACCTTTTTCATTCAGCTGACATTTGTAGATCTTAAGAGATAATTTGTATGGAACTTTAGGTTACAGTTCCACTTAAAGAACACCTCTCTACTCCACAGCCAATAAAATATAAGGAAACCAGTTCCACATTTTACAAGAATATCGTGTTTGTGATGACTCCTCCCTCCTCCACCTTGTCCCCCACTGGGACTTTTTTGGCAATTTTTCCTGAGGCATAATACTTCAGTCACTCAGGTTTTTGTTTATTTTTACTCAGACCACAAACAACCCCATTTATGCATGCAATTCATCAGTTCATCTTACAACAATCTAAAAAAAAAAAACCACACATGTATCCCATCAGTCAGACAGTTGTGATAAATTCAGAATTTAAAATTAACCAAAAACAAATAAAAGGCTCCTTGGCTTTGCAGAGCCGTAGATGTCTATAGGGTGGGTCCAAAGACCAAGGTCCAGGTATATTTACATATTCCTAGTCATGTATGATTCAGGAGCAACCATCATAAAACATGACCATAACAATCAACCTGTTGAGGGATAAGTTACTTGATAGCATCTGTTAAAAGATACAAACCACACACCAGGTACTATTCTACCCACAGTATATCTACTATTTTACTCCATCCTCACAGCAGCCCTATAAGAAAGTTCTAATATTACCTCCATCTTATACATGAATAAACCGAGGCATTGAAAGGACATAGGACTACTCAAGGTCACAGTGGCAGCTCCAGATCTTAAGTCCAGATGGGTTGATTACGGAGCTCCATGCTCTTATCTAAGATGCCAGAGAATTTATATGTAACTTAAAAATTGACTCTTAAGGTAAAGAGGCAGCTCTTTCTTCAAAGAAATGTGGTCAATCATTGTTTAAATGAACATTTGATAAAGCAAATATCCATCCACCTCTTGAAAAATGAGTTTTGAAAATTCGAATTTTCAAATGGGAGATTTGCTAAAAGTAGAACGAGCTTCTCACCAGCTAAGTCTATCCCTTTACTTAGGAAGAGCTGCTGGAAGACCGGCTGACCCAGGGGTTCCCAAACCTGTGGAGAATCACTGCCTAGACAGATCAGTGATTCCAACAGGGAACATTCTGATTCAGCAAGTCTAGGGTGGAGCCCCTGATTCTATTTTGTTTAGGCTCTCCAGGTGATTCTGTTGCCTAGCCAGGCTTGGGAACCTCTAATCTAGTCTGTCTTCACAGTTTCAAGCAGGTCCGTTTCGAAGGCAAACAGAAATTGATCCCGTTTTTTATTTCACAATCTCCCTTGGTTACTTACACCCAAACCCTTGTGTTCCCAAGCCCTTACTGCCCCAAGTTCTAGCAAACCTCTTTTTCTCTCCTGATTTAATTCCAGGCAATATCCTCTGGCCCTTTCTTCAATAGAAAACCATGAGTCATCACCCTTGCATACACCCTGTGTCTGCATGACTCTCCAGGCCAGAAAAATTTACTGTACGTGGGAAAATCAGAAAGTTGTAAAATCCAAACAGACACAAAGAAATTCAAGATTCAACAAATACTGGTTCCTCCTAAACAAACAGGTCTCTGTTTTGCTACGCATATATTATACTACAACAGTAATCTAAAATGTAAAAACTGTGACTTAAGATATCTGGTAGCACAGCACTCTTAATTGTATTAAGGAAAAGTGACAATTAAAATGATCAGGTTCAAGCCGCAATTGGCAATTATCAATCATCACAAAGTCAAATGAACTTCTTCATGAACCATATAGATTAAACCAAATAGATAGATACTTTAATCCAAGTTTTAAAAAACAATCTTGGCAATTTCTCAACTTCCCACACTAGGCCCAAATAGAGCTTGCAAAGAAAATGATATTCAACAGCCAACAAAGTAAGGCTAGGCGGCAATTTTCCAAGTCAGGAATTTATCCTCAGATGGAAAACAGAGAGCATCGCAAAACTCTCACCTGACATGTGATGCACTTCCCTGTAGTGGCAGTGGAGGAGGAGACTGTTGTACAAGGATGACAAATAAATCTGCAGCTTGAATGGACCACCCTGGTGACTTGATGCACGATGCTCCTGCAATGGTCCAGGGAGTGCAGGAGAGGAAATCCAAAATGAAAAACAGAATAAACTGCTTTAAAAAATAAGTCCACCTTAAGTGTCTGCACCGAAACACAAATTTTAAGAACATCACATTTGGCATTCTGTTGTATGAGAATTACACAGAACACAGCCAGCTCAAAAGGCAGGTCTGGTTTTGTTCAATAGGGCTCAGAGGAAGGCCAACATACAAAAAGGTCATCTCTTCCATCAAATTAAGAGGATGGTCTCCCCATTTGAGCCAGCCACTGTCATTCTTTGGTCGAGTGATTCTAGCCAATCATCTGATAAACACATGCTGGTAACTACAAGGAGAATCAGGTGAAAATGAGCATGGATTGAACAGTAATTGAGCCAAAGCCTAATTTTAATGTGGCATATATTATCTATCAACATGCAACTTGAAAGACAATCATGAAAGTGCACAGCTATCAGCATACCAGTCCAACGGAATAGAAGAAAGGATAAAATGCAGAAAAAAGTGCAAAGTGTGCATATATATTCACTAAACTTTCCACTAAACTTTAAATTATTTAAATACTGAATGTATATCTCATTTTCATTTTGCCACAATTCCTTGCACATGATTAAGTAAAAATTATCCATTGTATGATGAATGATTGAATGTGTGAATGGATGAATGAAAGAATGAATGAATGAATCTTCCATATACCTTTCCATCAGGGAGCTTGGTGCTTGTAGTAGTTTTTGTGAGGTAAAACCTATGCATAGAAATGGAAGAAGTTGAAGACTTGATCTGCTAACGTATTTTTTCACCCTATCCATTAAAATTATATTCTTAAATACTGGTGATTCCCAATTATCCACATTAAACAGAAAAAAATTTTTTTAAAAATCTGTAGCAGGGTCACTATAAAATAATCCCCAAACTAGTGAATGCTGGACTGATTTTCAGTCGTTGATTACTGGAGCTGATCTGCACATTTGCTTAGGCTGATTTTAAATTTAGTTTGCATTTCCTAAGCTCACGCCAGGTAACAGTAGGAAGAAGGAGGCCCAGGTTTATATTGGATGTCAGAAAGAAACTATTCTGGAGCTATGAATATGATCTCCAATGTGAATAATCCGTAAACAGGTAAGTGAGCCAATTATCCTTGGGTACATGGCAACACATCTCAGTAGTCATGATTATTTTCATCCATACACACTCACTATTTTTAAGAGCACAGCCCAGCTGGAAAGGAAAATAACTTCCACTTCTTTCCAGCACTTTTCAAAGTAATGAACAGTAGCCAAAATATGCTTACTTCTAACTAATCCATTCACCAAGCATTTATTTAAGCATCGATTGCCTGCCTGGGACTGATATGCAAAAGAAGTAATTCTTGTAGTCCTTGGTTTCCCCACGTGTGATCTGTGTGTACAGAGAAGGAAGGTAAGCTGTTATACACTATAATGTCTTTCAAATCTTTAGAAGGCACAGTCCCTCCACCAAGAAGCCTGTTGAGTTACAAATAAAAATAATGGCCAAGTTAAGTAGAAGTTTACAAAATTCTATTTACTCAGTACTTCTTTAAGGGTGAGGGGGCAGGGAGGGAGGATCCTTATTTCATCTCAAATTAAACATCAAAATAATTGATTCTCAAACGAGGTGCAGGTACCATAAATCTGCAGACAGTGCTTTTTATGAGCTCACCAGTTGGGAGAGTGTTCGCCTGTATGACAATTTGTATGCACACAATCCTGTTTACATATCACCTGGCAGATAAGGTTTTATAGAGTCCAAATTACAACCTCCTCCTAGTTTGCTGAAGTGCAGAGGAGGGTCAAACATGATGTAAATGCCGTAAAAGATTAATTTACTCTTGCAGGAGTATGCATTCTTATTTCAAAAGTATTTGTGTTGCTGCACTAGTTAGGATAATAGAGTTTACATAACTTGTATTCCATCAGAGGGAAGAAAGCAAGAATACGAGCAAGGCAGCATGTATTTACTGCAAAAACTTACAAAATTAATATACAAGAAAATAACCTATGGGACATTTTATACAATGATATATGCCAAAAATGCAATACTCAATATTCTTAAAATCCAGCAGAGCAACATAATACAATACTATTAATAGTGGAAGATTAACAAGAAAGACGGCCTAACCAAAACTGATGTAATGGTCAGTAAATACCAGGAGATAATGTGGGAGAGGGGGCCAAAATTAAGGGCACAAGAAAATAAAGTTTGCTATACACAGTGACAGAAAAATATATTTTCTTTGAACGTTAGAAGGACAGATGCTATAGGTGAGCAGCTACAATAACTGTCACGAAAAACTTCTGTTACCTAACTCATTCAAAAGTTGTCAGTTAAAGGGCATCTAAATGGAAAAAAAAAACACAAAGAGTTCCTCTTAGCCCAAATCAAAACACCACAATCGGGGAAACCTCTGCCCTATGAAGTCTCAAATTCTGAGTACACTACCATGAATTTTCTGAAAAGTAATTTTCAGGTAGGATACAATTTTTGCTTACATTGTGGCAATTATCATTACATTTTCATTACTCCACAAATAGGATGCATTAAAAGTTACAGAAAAATCAATGAAACATTTCTGCTTAGGTGAAATATGTCAAACAAAGTATAATGCTTGTTGCTTTTTTGTCCATAATTGTTCCTTCTAAACGTGTTTTGGTACATTTGGGATGGTAGTAATGCATAATACAAATATTTATAGTACATTAGCCTGAAAGTTCAAATTATGAATGTTATAAAATATATTACTATACTGATAAAGACAAATATCCATAAATATAACTATAAAAGAGAAAAATAAAAAACTGTTTCCACAAGTAAAGATTTATCTAAAACCATTCTTTTTATTACTTCTGTAATTCTAAGCATTTATATATTTTTTAAAATCTCAGTCTAATTACAGCTCTTTCAGCCAACATTTAAAAAATTCTGTAAAACTGACACTGTGTATCACTCCTTAAAAATTTTTTGAATGAGTAAATGTATTTTATTAAACTAAATTATATGAAAATAAAATGTGAACATAATTGATGACTAAAAATTCCTATCTTAGAAAAAGAAGTTCTACATGTAAGGTCCTAAAACAGAAATTATTATTTCTATTACCATTTCTACAATTTTTTGCTTTCGGTGCTTTTAACAAAATAAGGAGGAGGGCCTGCTTCTGATAACCTTGGAAGTATGACCGGAACTAAATCTGTTATTTGAATCAATTAAGCTGCACAGATCTAAATCTCTCACAGAAACTAATCATTCAAACTATTGAATTACTCTGAAAATACAGAGCAAAGAAAGTCAAATAATCTATCTCTCCGTTAAAAATAATGGCCTGTCTTACTGCACTATGTCACTTTACCGATGCAAGTATTTAAGCTCTTCAGATGCTAATCTATGTGTTATTTTAGATAACCACAATTTAAAGAATTAACATTCACTCCCACATTTACCTACTTACGTGAGTTTCAGAATTTTAGTAAAATATGTTTATTGCTTAACTTTTAATAGGAAACAAAATGAGTGTTACAGTGTTAGTCATCAGAAACTGTCACTCAAGGTATATGCAAAAAAGTAAAATCCACTTGACATTTCAGAATGAAAAACAATAAAGGCACAACATTATTCAAAAGAAATGGGAGTCCTCGGACTCTATAATGACAACAAAAACAGGAGTCATAGTAATGTTTACTAATATTTCAATAATCTCAGCACTGGCCTTCCCAGGACTCCTAGGCAACTGACTTAGGTATGTTGAAATTTACAGTCATTTGACATGTAATCTTATGGTTAAAGAGTTTTTGTTTAATCTTCCTCTAAGTGTAAAAGACAATGCAGAAGTCCTGAAGTCTAGTTGCAACATTTTTGACAAAGTATCACTTCTGTTTACCAAACCCTCTTAAAACGAAATCCACAAGGAAAAATATTGCCTTTGGCGGTTCCCACCAAGTATATTTTTTATACTTATTTTCACATGAATTTATTTGTGCACTGAAAAATAAATGTTCACATTTTACTGCAAGTAAAGCATTTTTCGATCTGTTGCAAAATAGAATCAGGACCTCCAAGGCATTGTGTAATATTGACATCCTTGCTTCTCATCTATTTACCACCTTATAAAAGCAGCTGGAAGAAATAATAGCTCATTTTAACTACAGCAATGCTTCATCTGACCGGGCCACAATGAATTTACCAACCACACAAACTCATGAAACGGTAAAAACTCATAAACCCCCTGTGAAGAGAGTTGAGTAGCTCTCTCAATCCTAGCCCTGGGGGAAAAAAATTTACCAGTTTAGCTATATTGGCCATAAAATTGTAAACTGACTGGCAGTCACAACTAAATCAAGACATATTCTCAACTATCTTTTCTTTCAAATACCAGGGTTATTAAAATACTCCCCCACCCCACTTAGCTGGATTCCCTGAGCAGCACAGAGCTTCAGCAACTAAAGCAACTTTTCCTTTTTTCCTTTTTACCATAATATTATTTCTCTTTGCTTAGGCAGCTTCATCAGTGGTGCCCTAATGCAAAGACTAGAATACTGCTAACTGCTCACTAAATTACATCCTAAAATAAAGTATATGTTTATTGTGCAAAAGCACCATGCATTATCAGTCCTCTAGCTATAGGCCTCTATCGTTTCTCGCTTAGCTAAGGAAAAAAAAAATCCTTTTAACTTACTACCAAAGATCATTCAAATCACAGCCAATAGATCCAAATTAAGAATGAATACATTCAGAATGTCTGCCTACTGTCAGTACCAGTTTTTGTTATGATGGCTGTCAAGTTTTAAAATGTGACAATGGGAATATATTTTCCGAATAAGTTATTCCCCTGAGTAAACCCTTTAGAAATCCAGCCATCGCTATGGGCAATGTAGGTTCCAAAGGATGAACGCTCTTCACACTTGAAAGGGTTAAGTGCCTGCAAGGCCAAAGGCACCAGACTGCAAAAGAAATGTTGCTTTAGTAAGCTCTGAAAGGTTTCTAACAAGTACCAAATACTTGTTGATCTGTTCACAATAAACACCAGCAGGATTGTCAGGCTCCTTTCACTGTCTGGGGAGATGCATTTACATACTGCACCTAGGAAGAACAGCTTGTTGGTCTCCTTTACAAAAGTTGAGTAACTAGAAGCCTCATTCAGTGTCTCCCATCCAAATGACTGAAAGAAGATGCAATTGAAATAGTGGAGTCTCTCGTCTGGCTTGGGCAGCATAAATGCTGTGCATAAAACACTTGGAGTAGTTCAGGCACAAGACAAACCCACCTGAATGGACGAGGAACACTGTCTGTTGCCATGGCAGCCTGATCTAATTACATGAGCGATCAGGGCTGGAGTAAGTGCACCGAAAACCTACACCACTGACAGGCAGCCAGGAGGTTCAGGGGAGCCCTTCAACCTCTGCTTTATGTAGAAGATGGCATTCAAGTCCATTTATTTGCGGAGCTGCTAAAATATTGACTGATGCATGCACAGTGAGAGGGCAATCAGAGGAGATTAAATGGCACAGCGCTAGCCGTTATGGTGCAATCCCTTTCCAAGAGTTCCTGTGCAGGATTTTCTCTTCTCTCTGGTGGTTTCCTCAGGCATAAGCTTCATTCTAAAAAAAGCTCGAGTATCAAACTACCTTTACCCACCAAATAAACCGAAGGGTGGGCTTAACGGGGGCTTCTAGGAACTGCAGCCTCCTAAAAAACCCAAACAGAAATGTCTTAGCTAACACTGTTGAAAAAGTAACTAGCTATGCCTAAAAATAACCAAGTAACTACCCACTGCTGTGTGCAATATATAACGATGATGTTTAAATATTAAAAACAGCCTGCATTATAAAACACAAATGTCATTGAGATGTGACTACTAGATTGCCAAAGGAGAACTTATTTGCATACACACATTCCCGTGCATGCACGACAGGATGTGCAGGGAGAAAGCCACTGTAAGGCATTAGTTTTTATTCTGTGGGTGTAATAGGGTCTTCTAATTTTGCTAATTGTATCCTGTGGATCTCACAGGGAAGCTAAGAATCTCTTCGGGGACAGAACCAGTTTGGAGGAGTCCCTACTGCACAGCATACGGTAAACAAAATAAAAATAGCTTGCCTTTCTTGTTAGCCACATCGCGCATTATATAACCAGCTTCTTCCGACTGGCTTTTTTTTTTTTTTTTTTCCTGCCCTTACTACTCTTCAGCAATTTCTCAATCTTCTCAAATATTTATATTACCCTTTTATCTGTAGGATTATATACCAAGAAAGCAAAACAAAACAGAGCAGCCACGGGCTCGAACCTAACCCCCGACGTCCTTACAAACTGATTTTTTTTGTTTTGTTTTGTTTTCTGGCAGAGTCTCGATCACCACCCTACTTCCACCCCCCACTAAGGTTCTTGCTCAATCTCCCTAGAAAACCTGAATTGTTTCATCCCTTCCAGTCAGCCCCCTACGTGGTCTGAAATAAAATGAAAGCACAAGCCACGGAGTTTAAGAAGGCAGCCTGAAGGCGGGGGGCTGAAGAGGGGTCGGGGCGCTGCAGAGTCAGCCAAGTAGCCAAGGAAGGGCCACCTCCGCGTCGCGACTGCCCTCGCCCCCCGCCCGGCGCGCGCGCGCACACACACACACAAATACACACTCACTCACACACACACTCACTCACACACTCACGCCGCGCTTCGACACCGCCTCACCTCTCGCTCCGCCCGTCCGGCCCCCTTCCCTGCCCCCTGCGGGACCGGCCTGCGCGCAGCTCTGGAACCACGTAGGAGGCGGCGGCGGCGGCCCCGGGAGTGGCAGAGTCTCCGGCCCGGCCCAGAGTGAACGAGCAGTGGGGCTCCAGGGCGCATCCCAATCCCCGCAGCGCCTCCTCCGCCGCCGCCGCCTCCTCCTCTTCCCCTCCTCCTGGCTTCATTCACCCTCCCAGCAGCCGCGCAGCCGTTCACTCCCGGCTCAGGGCAGCGCCTGCCGCGGCTCCTCGGCTCCTGCCGCGGGTGCTGGCGGGGGCGCCGGCCCGGACTGGGGCGCTCGCGGGCTCCCGGCTCCGGGCGGCGGCTGCCGCTGCACATGATCAGGAAGCGGCCGCACCAACAGGGCGGCGGTGGCGGCGGCGGCCAGGGCCGCCACCGCCACTCCAGCCGCTCTCCAGGCACCCGCACACCCGCTACCCCTGCGCGGTCCCCGAGGCCACCCCTCCGCGCCCCCTGCCTGGCACCCGGCCGCGCGCAAAGTCCCGGCCAGGCTGCAGGAGCAGTCCCTTCCCCGCCCGCAGCCGCACACCCGGCGACGCCGGCCCTCCGAGAGGAGACCCCCACCCCGGGGCGCCGAGGCCAGGCGACCACCCGCGGGGAAGTCCAGCCCTCCCCGAGACCCCCTCTCTCTCACCGCCCTCTCCGGGGAGGAGGAATGGGAAGAGGGCGGCCGGGAAAGGGACCACCCCCCCACCCCGGCCGCCGCCACCTCCCCCCTGCGCCACCCGGAGGGAGGAGGACATAGCTCTCCGCACTCGCGACCGGACCAGCAGCCGGGGGGAGCGGGGCCCCGCCGCCGCTCTCCCCGCCCGCGCCCCCCGCCCGGGCGCGCCCCCTAGCCTGGCGGGCGCCCACCCAGCCCCTGACAGCCCCCTCGCCGGCCGCCCCTGCGCCCACAGTGGGGGTGTCGGCCCGGGAGCCTGGAGCCGGGGACGGTTGTATGTACACACACGCACACACACACACACACGCACACACACAGAACACGACGCGTCGATTTCCTTCGCTCCTCTTCCAGCTGTTTTCCGTGCAGCCGATTGGGGTTTTGGGTTTGTTTGCTGGTTGTTGCTTTTGCCCCTCTCGGGAGATCGGGTGAGGAGGGATTTTAATCTAAATAAGGGGAGAAGGGGATGGGGGAGGGGGGAAGAATCAGAGGAGGAAAAAAAATAGCCACTTACTGTAAAGTGTAAATGGATCTGGGGTTGCGTGGGGAAGGGGGGGCAGAGGGAGAGAAACAATGTCTTGCGGCTGCTGTTGCTCTGGCTGCTGCTCCACGGGGCTTGTTTTGGATCCCCCTGCAGTGAAACAGGTCCTGTACGGCTCCGCCACTGTAGTAGAAATGATGTCTGCGGTATACTCTGCTCTCTCCTCCTCCTCCTCCTCCTCCTCCCCCTCCTCCCGCTCCCCTCCCCTCCCTCCTCCCTCCGCCCGCCCTCCCTCCCTCGCGCTCTCTCGCGCTCGCTCGCTCGCTCGCTCCAGTATGTAAATGTGTAATAGAAGCCAAATATGGAGCAGTTGGCTGCCGCCGCCGCAGCTCAAGGATCCGACTTCATGGGGGTGGGGGGCACCCTCTGGCGGGCGGCCCGGCAAGCCGCACAGAGCACGGCGAGCGCACCGCGCGGCGGCCGGCCCGCGCCCTTAACCCTTCGCTGCGCGCCGCCCGGGGAGGCGGACACCTTTCCCAAAGAGTGGCTCGGGATGGGGTGCGGGGGAGGGGAGACGCGGACCGGAGGGCAAGGTTCCTTCCAGGTTTGGGATGGGGGCGGGGAGCTGGGCGATGAGGTAATTTGAGCGGTGACGGGTCGGTCCTCGCGCGCCTCCCTGGGTCCCTGCACCTAGTTGGAGGGGACTGAGCGGCAACGGGGCGCTACTCAAGCAACCTGGGGGACTCCCTCAGGGGGTGTCAGGCTTCAGCTGGGAGCCGATGAAACACCCCAGGGGGGAGGGGAGGTCAGTCAATTCTAATCACTACGTGCCCTTGGTCCCCGGCGCTCGGAACAGCGTCTAAAAGGGCTCACTCTGATCATCAGCTGCACGTTAACCCGCAAACCGGCGTCGCTTCGGCGTTCCGGAACCCAGGCCCGGGGGCCGCGGGGATTGCCTCTGCATGCAACTCCGGAAAGTTTCAAGGGGCCCCTTGACTGCACAGGCACCCTCACCTTTCCTGCCTGCGAACGCTGGCGACCGCTGGACCCTCCCCTCCCTCTCTCCGCAGGTCCGGAAATCGGCTTTGATATGGAACTACTCCGCTCTAGCCTGGAAAGGAGACCCGCGCACTCCTCTCGCAGCTAATTTGGGATCATTAATTTAATCGGAAATGAGGTAACCAGTGTAGGAGACAGAGAAAGCAACCGGAGCATCAAATGGCAGTTCTGGACAATCGACGAGGAACTTAAATCCGGACTCAGGGTTTCAGTGCGGTCCCCGACTCCCACCACCCGGCCCTTCCGCCTGTCCCGCCGCCAGGTGTGACCTCCACGCGAAGGAATCTTCTGCGGATGGGTGCACCTTGCCAACAGGTGTGGCACCTGGAGGATTAAGAGGCGCCTCCAGACTAAGGGCGCTCAATGTGGTGTTCTTGTTGCAGATGATTCTGGAAGGCCAGTAGGTGTCGGGAGACATTTGACCTTCTTCAGGTGCTTAGAACTAAGTGTCTGGAAACATGATCCCTTCGCGTAAGTTTTTTTCTGAAAGACACCGCTCCTGACTGTAAGCTGTATTTGAGAGACCTATTGGCTGAGTTTACTTAAGACCTAACGGTTAGTCACCAACTGAGGCAGGGCACAGGATGACCAAAAAAAAAATGTGTCAGTTTTTACACAACTCTGGCCTGCAAGAGTCTACGTGCTTCATAAATAAAAATACATCCGAGCGAGGAAGGTGCAGAGCCCCGGAAATATTTTTTCTCACGTTTTTGAAGTACCGTGCACATATACGTGGCTATTTAAATGTAACTACTACTGTTCACTGTTATTCATTTCTACAACTTTCTTTTTTCCATTTAAAAATCGATTATTGTTACGGTTTAAACCTCGGGTTGGTCTAAAGTGACATTGTTGGTCTCATTACAGCCTCTAGTGGACAGTTAACATCGGTTTCCTGAAAAGGCTCTGACTGATTTTATTTTCGTTGACAAGCTTGGCCAAGGTGAAGGTTAGTACGTAAGAGCATAATCGGGTAAAATGTCCCCCTACCCCTAACCTCACCCCTGCCCCCAACACCCTACTTGGCAAAGACGACTTCAGAAAGGAGCAGTGGCTTGTTGGCTTTGTATAGAAAAGACGTATGCTTTGTGCTGCAGGTATTATTATTACTGGACTGTGAATAAACAGAAAGCTTCTGCTATTCATTTCAGTTTCAGACAGCTTTCATAAAAACTAAATTCATCTCAAATATTTTTATAACAGAAAATATTGGTTGCCATGTTTTTGGCTTAACTGCGATGTTTTTATTCCAACTCATAATCTGCAAACTGTCCAATCCACCTCCACTCTATTTTTAGACATCTTACATTTAGATAATTTTCAGTTAAAAAAAGCTAATATTGTCATTATTATGTTGGCACAAGCAGTTAATTTATGTGATTTTAGCAACCTTGAATTAAAACACATAATTCAGATTAGAGTTAGTCAATTAATTTAAATGTTCTCTCAAGGAAGCTAAATATGTATATTACCCAAATGGTAAAAACAACTAATAAGAAATGTGTCATTTACTTTCTTAGCCATTAAGATTAAAGCCATAAACTGCCACCAAAATCTGTAACTATTTCTTCCTGCAAGATCCAACATAAACACCATACTCATGAAACAGTCTCATTACCTTTAGTACTGAAATATTTTGTTTTCAGATGGCAAAATATTAAATGTACAATCGCAAATAACAGGCACTGATTCTTTAGAAACAAGACTTTCTCGTGCAAATAAAAACTCAATGAAAAAGGGCAGCGCTTCCAAGAAGCTAGTAGGCAAATATATAGTACTACAGTCCTACTCATAAGGCTGATGTTATATTTGTAAAAGCATAAGTCGACCTTTGAAACTACAGGAAATCGATAAATAAGGCCTGATGAGCTTGACTCATATCCTGTGTCATAGATTGCTTAAATACCATGAAAACTAATTGCAATCACATATCTATTTTACTGTTTTGGTGGTATCTACTCTTAAAGGTTTTAAATGGGCCAGCAAGTATATATTATATAATGACATATTACATCCTTACTTCTTAAAGTGTAGTCTTCGAAGTAGCCGCAGCAGCACTTGGGAGCTATTTAGACATTCAGAGGCAAGGGTTCTACCCCAGACATACCAAATCAGAATCTGACTTTGAACCAGGCCCCAAGGTATTCCTAAACACATTACCATGTGAAGAACACTGGTCTATACCACAGGGATCAACCTAAATAAATGCGGGCACAGGTGCAGAAGTTAATTCCTCTATTTATTTCTTTTTTGCTCCTTTTTAGTAAATACAGCCCTTTATTAATTTGTGCTCTTCAATGAAAAATTACTACGTTATATGCTTTGGATAAATACTACTGCATTTTAAGTGCACACATCTGCATCATTATTGCCAAAAGAGAATGCTCTGCTGAGGAATGTACTGGGGTCTTGAACATGAACATTTTCTTCATGGCAGCAGAGGGAGCACAAGAGTGCTTAATAAAACCAATGCACAGGTCTCTCCAAATCATGACAGATTTTAAATTGTAGTATATGTTTTTATTGGAAGTAGCCCATTACGTAGTTCAAAATGAAGCAAATCAACCAAGCAAACACAAATAGGCTTACCAGGTCATAGTAACTATGTAATTGAACAGATTAAAAGTTGAATAAAACAAAGATAAAGTTCTTTAGAGTTTTAGGCTTGAATTCTTAAAAGGAAGTGGACCTCAGAAGTGAAAAAGATGCTTTAGCTTTGCTCAAAAACAAAGATAACACAACACAGAATCAGGCAACCCTAAGATGCCTTAGCTTTACTCAAAAACAAAGATAACACAACACAGAATCAGGCAACCCTAAGAGTAGCTCCTGTTTATCTAAACACAGAGTCAGTTCACTGGACCCTGCATCAGGTAAGTTAATTTCATTTGTTGTCATACATGTTAGTTAAGGTCCATGCATCTTTCACTGTGTTTACATTCAGAATAATTTTAGGGGTTTGTCCTTAATACTTGCAGTGGTGAGGATTTAGGTTTCAGTTATACCTATGTAGTATTTCATACTTTTCACTACTCTTCCATATTGCATCCTCAAAACCTCCATTGAAGCAGATAAGATACTTGGTAAAAGTCAAGTATCAAAAAAGTTATGGAACCAGGTCGTGCTTTCATAACACTGAGTCATTGAATTGTTTCAGTAATGCTTTGAGGTGTTCATTAACGAGGGAAATTATACAAACTAAAGATCCAGAGCATTTTTTATAGTTTTAAAGGTTTTTCAAAGTTATTCTTAGTTAATATGTTTATTATTTATTTACAAGCAGTCATTTATTCTGCATCTACAATAACTAAGACCTAAGAATATAAAATTGAGTAAGACATCTTAGAAGCAGAACAGATCTTACCTTTGGAAAACTGTTAATTTTTACCAGGATGAAACACAAAGATTCATAGTTGATCGATCCAGCACCCGCCAGAATCATAGCAGTCAGACTTCCAAATATGAGAAGCAAACACTAGAATCATTAAAAATTTGAGAGGCAGGGGGTGACAATTGTACAACTCTTGAGCAAAAGTTGGCTTATAAGCTAATATTAATATTTCAAATTTGTACGACAAACAAATGTGAAGATATAATGCGTATTTTATTTGAATGTCGTCCCTATCACAAAATCACATGAGTCTGTTGAGTTGGTAAACATTTATTTATTTTTATCTTTTCTAAAATGCTAAAAAGAATTTTTCTCCCACACTAAAGAGGGTTTGCCAAGTTTCTGCCTGGAGCAATTTGTTATGGCTGTGTAATAAATCCCAGAAAGTTTGAATTTTTAATGGAAACACTGACAGAATAAAGAGGGTGTAATCCTACATATGTCATTTAAAAATCTGAGCAAACCATAGTGTGCTTGCAAAACAAATATACTTTCCTTAGATTGCACTGACAAATAAGGCTGGGGAGACCAGAAAAGTAAAACAAACTCAAAACAAAAGTGAAAAACACTCACACAATAGACTCTGAGGTCAGCTCACCACACCCAGACTAAAGTCACTGGGCTCTGTGCGTGGCACCAAGACTCTTAAAAGACCTACTTCTGAATCATCTTTCTTGACCCTACACCAAACTGTAGCAAGACAAGCTTCCTAGGAATGAAAATGACCTTACCATTAGTCAAGAGTGAAATTAAAGTCATTTTACTCAAACATCTGCCAACAGACTATGATTTCATAGTACTCACCTCTGAAATAAGACTCTGTCTACAATTAAAAACAAAGAAAAAAAGGTACTTTAGGTCTTCACTATCCACTATGTCTATTGAGCACTGGAAATGTGTGATTAGTACAAATTAACATGTGCTGTGTGAAATATTCCTCAGATTTTAAAAACTTGGTTTAAAAAAATACATAGTTTACATATAATATATATTATTCATTATTCTTACATTATTAATTTTATGTATTATATACATGCACATGCAATATCTCCATATTTATATTGGTTAAATGTTGAAAATATTGGGGTTTTTTTAAATAGTGTATATTGGGTTAAATAAAATATATTATTAAACTTCATTTTACCTGTTTCTTTTTACTTTTTTTTTTTTTTTTTTTTTTTTGAGACAGAGTCTGGGTCTGTCACCCAGGCCGCCTTGCAGGGCAGTAGTGCAGTCTCTGCTCACTGCAACCTCCACCTCCTGGGCTCAAGTGATCCTCCCACCTCAGCCCCCTGAGAAGCTAGGACCACAGGCATGCGCCACTATGCCCAGCTAATTTTTGTATCTTTTGCAGAGGCGGAGTTTCACCATGTTACCCAGGCTGCTATTGAACTCCTGGGCCTTGGCCTCCCTGATTATAGGTGTGAACCACCCCACCTAGCCTCTTTTTACTTTTCTTAATGTGGCTATTATAAAGTTTAATATCACATGTGTGAAAGGGTTATCTATTTCATTTCTAATGAACAACACTGATACAGATATTGGGGCTGAGAAGGCACAGGAATTGGTTCTAAGAACCCAATTTGAGACCTTAGACTCCCTGCATGGCTCCCTGCAGTGGTGTGGTAAATAGCTTATTTTTCTCCCTTCTTCATGTTCCCCCCTTGCACTGTGTAATATAGACCTTATCGTACTCTGTTATAATGATCACTGAGAATAGACTGTCAGTGAATGCGTGATCTCACTGGTAGATCTATCACAGGCCTGTGAAACCAAAATTTGTTAGGCTTATCTGTGACTCAGTCTTCTCAGGGGAGGTCTGGTGCCTTGTCACCTTGGGAGGCTGATGGAAAACCTATGCTCTGTTTTCGAAAGCGCGAGCACAAGCATCCTAGAGTTACAGCTGGTTTTGCTGCTTGCGGCTAAATGGTTTGGGGCCGATACTTTCTAGTGACAGATGGCTTTGGACATTGATAATGAAAATTATATAATTTGTTGCTTAAATAAAAAACATCAAGGCCACCAAAAAGAAATCTGTTTAAAAAAAAAAACAAAAAACAAACAAAAAAAAACCTTTCTAATATATTTAGTACCATAGGATGCTCTGAAAAGAAATGATTATTTTTAACTATCATTATTTATTCTGCAAGCAAGGCCTAGATACATTTTCATCAATGCAGCTCTGACCAAGATTGAATGTAAGGCAAGTATCATAATTTATGGTCTTAGTCATCTAAAGAACACAGCTCTTCTTCCATGGAAAGAAAGCAGACAACATTTTAAGGCTTGGAATGAATGAGTTGAACTTTGTTTGGTATTGGCCAGGAGCATTTGGAAATCTATTAAAAGCATTTCATTAACAACTTGGCATGTTGTTTCCTCAAAAGAAATACATTTTCCAAATTAAAATCAAAGCCAGAAGCCACCATTGTTTGAACTGAAGGTAGTGGCAGCTGATGGGTTGAACATGTTAAGCTGAGGGTGCCTTCGAAATAAGATCATGGGCAACAACAGGCTGCAAAAATAAACATCAAATTTTTATGGAAGGAGTGAAGCAATGTTCTTTGTTGTTCTAACTTTGTGACATTAAAATATGTGGCTATAAGCTCTCTTAGTTACTTTATTTTTCTTGAGTCAATATTGGCCAGGAGAAGCTGATCTGAATGAGGGTCAGAGTTTAAGAAAATTGTTTTATGAGGAATTTACCAAGTTTACCCCCAAAGAGGGAGAGTGAGAGAAAGATGCATTGGCAAACTTTGCTTTTTGACATAAATAAGTAGAGTTCACCAAGGAAACGGCCTGTGTCAGGATTTCAGTGAGGGTTGTCAGGCAGTTTGATATTTGCAGAACCCCTCTCTATCAGGCCTTTCCAAAGTTTAACTGCTGGGAGACCTGGGAAGCTCCCGAGACTGGTGACTGAAGATACTGATTTGCTTTGTGTCTGAGACACAGGCATAAAACGATGGCTATTGCCACAGATGCTTTCTGACAGAGCAGAATAATAGCACTCACACTTAAACTGTACATTACAAACAATCCCTTTTTGAGTACAAAACAAATGCACAGAATGGAAGACCCTGTCAGCTAGAATACAAGTAAATCAAGTAGAAGAAGACAAATTATTCACTCATACCACTACAGCCAAATTTTTATTCTGCTAACTGCACTGTCATGAGAGAGCTTTTCTTCTTCTTTGTCAGATATTAACATTTATGCCTAGTGTTCCATTATCGGAACGCTAAGCATGTGGGAGTTATTTATATCCTACTGCTCAAGGTCATCGCCAAGGTCTGATTGCAAAAATTCAAAAAATTGCAACCATAAACAGGTTAAGAAAATGGATACATCATAGTTATTACAAATATGTGAGGCACTGGATGCGTTTCCTCTGAAAGCCAATCAAATTACAGGATATGTTTCCTAACTCCCCACACCTATTCCAGTTTAAAAGTTGTAGCTTGAGTACCAGGAGTAAGAACACGTGACCCCTTCACTCCCAGGGCTGCCTTTTCCTGCTGTCAATTTCATAATTATATTGCTCCGCCCCTTGGCTTAGCACTTCCTTTCCCCTCACTACCTTCTCACCCCAACCCCCAGCAATGAATCATCATGCCTTTAATGAGACTTAGATGACCCAGTGTGAACTTTGCTGGCATCCTGTACATTCTTATGCCAAAAAAGGGGAGTTGCTCTAAGACAGAAACTAGCCAGACCCTAATGCAGATCTTGGAGGCAACAAGCTTGGGTGTTTATCTGGGAAGATCAGCGAGGAGTTAATTTTCCTAGATCACAATGGTGATTCAGAATTGCATATCTTAGTTCATGATCGGGTTTTTAAGAACCCAGTTCGACCCTTTGTGCAGAAAGGAATATATCAGAGGGAAAAATGTTGGCAGATCTCCTTATGCAATCAGGGCAAAGGAATTTATACCACATTCAACCCTTTGATTTCTCCAGATCTGGCTGAGGGTGGGGTTTCCATATTTGTGCTTTGGCAAATGTGTCCAATAATTAACTCCTCCTGATATAAGCCCCTAGTGTTCTTCCAGGTTATCATGTGCTTATTTGTGCATTTATTAAAACCAGAAACATTTTTGTCCCTTCATTGTTTAAATACTGTGTCTGAGTAATACAGGTTAAATAGACAACAAGAGCCTTGCCTTTTAAAGACTTTACTCCCTACCTAAGGAGGTAAAAGAGGTGTCGTTTAAATAACATTGTGCATGTGCATACACTTTCTATATGGAAAGCCCTTTCTTCTCCTCCCTCTTTCTTTTTTTTTTTTTTTTTTTTTTTGCTTGGAGATTTTATCCTCATGCTTTTTGAGATCCGGCTCAAGCATCAACACTTCTGTGAAGTCTTTCTTGATTATCACAGGAGTCTGTGGCTCTGCCCAATGTGTGAGTCACAGAAGTGCTATTTTCTTATTCTTTTTATTTATACAATATTTTTTTAAACCTCTAACCGAAAAAAACAGGGCCATAAGCACAGATGGAGAGAGTATCCTAAGTGGGAGCTCTCTTATTTGAATACTTCCTGCTACTCCCAAACCCATTTGACCTCCCTTACAGTTTCAGCGTGCAACTGCGCTTCCTTTGTTTATGCTCCAATTATGTGACTCCCCTCCGCTGATCAGTTCTTCATGTAACTTTCCACTGCCCTCTGTTACGAGTTGAATTGTGACCCCAAAAAATGCATCAAAGTCCTAACCCCAGTAACTAGGAGTGCGGCTTTATTTGGGAGTAGGATTTTTGCAGATGTAATTAGTTACGATGAGGTTTTGCTGATTTAGGGTGGACCCTAAATCCAATACAACTGTTGTCCTCATGAGAAGAGAAGACACAGAAACAGAGGAGACACGGGGTAGATGACCATGTGAAAACAAGGTAGAGGCTGGAGATATGCTGCCACAAGCCAGGGAATGCCAGGGGTTGCTAGCAACCACCAGAAGCTAGAAGAGGCAAGGAAGCCTCATCTCCTAGAGCATTTAGAGAAAGGATGGCCCTGTTGACACCTTGATTTCAGACTTCTGACCTCCAGAACTGGGAGGGAATAGATACCGGTTGTTTTAAGCCACCCAGTTTGTGGTACTTTGTTACAGCCACCCTAGAAGACGAATGCACCCTCCTGATGAGATCCATGATTCCAGGTCCATTGCACTCCACTTTCTTCTCTTTATTTACATATATGGCCCTACCTCTTTCTGCTGCAGATACTCCTACTTTTGGTCTTGCACCTGTGACAATACCAATAAACAAAAGAAAAGGTCTAATGGAATAGAAAACTTAGAGTTCTAGAACCACCTCCCCGTCATCCCAGAAAAACGTCTGGCTTCTGGCCCCAGGCCTCAGAGAGCACAACTACATTACACTCCTGCACAGGGCCTCAGGTGGTGTCGGCGTCCTCCTCAGCCCTCCTCAGCTCCCTCTGCTGGGCGCCCGATGCACCAGCAACTTCCTTCTTCAGAAGTGGTCTTCCAGCATGTGGGTGGGGTTGGGGTGAATAAGAGACGGAAAAACCTAAATTAATTTTGATATTGAGGAAATACAATGCTAATTATTTGGCTGCTTTCTGTCTATTTGGAGTGTTGTCTATTTGAGTGTTACCAAAGTGCTTATGAAGACCTTGGTCTTTCTGATTCTCCTTTTTCAAAAAAAAAAAAAAAAAAGGACAAGTGATTTGTTTTAGGAAGTTTCCCTCAGCAAGTGGAAGGGGAGGCCTCACACTCAAGCCAGAATACCAAGGAAGTCCTCTCGAGATGGACAACACAGTTCTTATATGCAAATCTCAGAAAATGGCAACTCCATCTTGCCACCTGTTCAAGCACAGAACCATTGGCAGTATCTTGACTCTCTCGTTCAGACCCCACATCCAATGTGCCAAAAATCCAACTAAATCTACTTTCAAAACATATCCAGAATCTGATCATTTTTCAG